AGCTTCCGGAGCAGAGGTTTGGAGAACCCGAGAGCTGTACAGACTCAGTTGGGGGCACACGATTGCAAACAGCTTCAGCGTGTAATTCGACCTGGGCGAAGGCCCACGGGGGGGCCTGCGGCCTGCCCAGCGTGCCGCGATAGTGGCACCTTTGGGGGCCAATGCTCCCAGCAAAACCTGCGGTTGTTAAGTGCATTTGCCGAGACACCTGGATATGTTGGGCAGAAAGCCAGTTTATACGGAAGGGTCAGCACCGATGTTGTTCTACAACATGCTCACCAGAAGTGGGAGTCCAGATGTGCCTGACAAAGACCGAAGAATCGTCGTGTCCCTGGCACTTCATGTTTCACGCAATAGCCTGAGGAGCACTTACTAGTCGAAAACAGGGAGGTGTGTTGCTTTGGAGATCGCTTCATGCATGTTCCTCGCGCAGGTGCCCGAAGCGACTGGGCACGCGTTCTCTTATGGCAGTTGCACCTGACAAGCGGCTTTCTGCTTTGGCTCAGCCCGGGTGCTAGGGCCCGCTAGGCAGTTTCCAGTCATGCCTTGAAGCTGGGTAAGGCATGCTGCCTACATTCAGTGATGCGTGGGCGTTCCGCTTCGACGTGGCTAGGCACCATGTCCATGGCCGATGTCCAGCCTGCTGGATCGCAGAGTGGAAGCGCTGGTGCCGCTCTCAGTTGCCCACCGAGGGTTTGCTTTTTGCTTTGTGCCTGCACCGCAGGCGTGTGCTGCTTGGACTCGGGGAAGAAGTTTCACGGCTTGATCTCCGAGACCATGAAGCCGAATCCCCGCATTGCGTGTCTTGTGTGTCTCGAGTCGTGCCTGTTGCTTGAGGCGATATCCCTCTGCAGTGGAGGTGAGAAGTATGTGTGAAGCTCGGCTCTGAGAGCTGCAAGGCGCAGATGTTGGCCGTCCAAGGCCAACCTTTCTCCGCAGTGGTGACAGACGTAACATCGAGGCGTTGTCCCACCCAGTGCGGTTGTGACCCAATTGGGCCAATTGGTGCAGGTGTTGCAGCGCACCGGAAACCTCTCAGCCACATATGCGACAAGGCGAGTTTTCGGCCAGTCTGATTGAAGGCGTGCTCTCAGCCCTTGCCAGGCCATTGCCCATGCAAGCAGTGGCCATCCCTGGATATCGAGGGCACATATCAGGGAAGGCGCAGACCTGACTGCACATACGCTCATGTTTGTGCATATGAATACACATTATATATATATATATACATATATATGTGTATTTATAACTGCTATGTTTGCTTCAGTTGCAAGGCATGCACGGGAGCATGCACAATTCTGGGCGTCCTTGCTTCCCTGAGGTGTCTGAAAACATCCACGGAGGCACATTTGGTTCAGAGAACCATTTGGCCACGCAGTCGCTGCCCATTAGGCCAGGGCTCGCTGTTTGTGCATCCGTTTTTTTGAGCTGGGCCGAGGTCTATGCGACGCACCTGGTCTGAGCCATTCCGGCGGGGGCATCCTGATTCAGCTGGGGCCCTAGGGGCATGGAGCTTTCAGGGGCCCAGGACATCGCCAGCACCCATACGGGCTACGCGTGTTCATCCACGAAGCATTTGTAGACCCCTCTAGCCTGAGCATGCTGAGGCGCTGGGGACAGGCAAGGGCCTGGAGGCAGGAACTGCTCAGAGTCCGAGCTTGCAGCTTGGGTCTTCGGGCTCTCGTTTTGTCGCTTCGCAGAATGCCAGCATGGCGGAGAGTGGCTGTAGAATGTCTGGCCGGTCCCTGCCACGTCGCAGGTGCCCTCCAGGATCCCAGGCTACGCTGGGCACCACCGTGGCATGTCCTTTGTGTCGCCGCGCGGGCGGGCCGAGCGGGCGGTTAGCGGCGACGGCCTCGCCAGGAACATCCCGGGGAAACTGTCCGAAACGGTTTACGGCACGCGCTTCGCGGAAGCCAATGAATCCGTGCTGCACCCAAAGGGCTTTGATGCATTTGCCGCTGGATGATGCCTTCGTAGCACCGGGGGGGGTGGGGGGTGGGGGGCATTTCAACAGTTCTCCAGCCCGAGGCTCAGATGCTGCGAACGTCGAACCCCAATGCGCTGAACTCAGAGAGATGCCTTGTCGGTTTCGGCCTATCCCCAGCGTGCAGGTTACATGCGATGGCTGGCTGAAGCGTGGCGTCTTTCCTGTGGTGCCCATCCTCAGCTTTGCTCATCGTGGCTTGCAGCTTTCTTTGCGAATGCAAGGACCGAATGCACACATACCAGTGGAACAATCGCTTCGTGCAGACGGGAGGGCAGGCCAGCGTTGTGATTGGTCCTTTCAGCCAGCGACTCTCGGTGCCAGGCGCTCTTCTCAGCTGCGCAAGATGAAGAGAGTTTGGCGCAGCAGCCACAGATTGTTCGCCTTGCACTCTGCTGCTGGTCCTTTGTCTTTTTGCCACGCGGGGTGGCATGCCTGCGCGCTATGATGGTCCGTGGGAATTTCGGCTTGCCACTTTGGAGACATGTCAAGAATATACGTGAGACAACAAACAAATCACTTCAAGTCATGACCCACAAACCTGCTCAACTACCCGAGCAAGTCCAAACGCAGCAACAACGGTGCGACACACAGCTTGGAGTGGGGGGCACCATGCTGCCAGTCCCGTATCAAGATGACAGGCGTGAGGAGACCATTGCAGGCCGGGCTGAGAGATTGCACCTGACAGGAGGCCTCACCATTCTTCGACATATCCGTATCCACAGCATGGTGCGTATGGTGCGTATGGCTATGGCCCAAAGGATCCGCCGGTGACTCGGTTACTCGGTGACTCCGTGGCTCATTTGCTTTGTTGCGGTGGCGGCTCAGGCATCCCTCAGGCGTGGGCACTGTCGGGCACCATGTCGGATGCAGGGTTCCATTGCTGGCTCTGCGTGCTACCCTCCTGCAGGAAAGATGAACCCAAAAACAAATACACACACACACACACATACACGCACCCATGCAGATGCGGATCTCCTTTTGGGCGACCCCCTTCCCAAACACATGTTCATTTGCAGGTGTAGGACATGTGGCAAACAGACGAAACAGATAAAAGCAAGCCTACCCCCTCGTCATAGAGTTTTAGATTCGAGGAAGGGCTAGAATTTCAGATTTAGCATTCCGATTTCAGTCACATGTCACAGGTTTTTTGTGTCTGACCCGTTCTTGTCATCATGCAAAACTGGCATGCACGTGTGTGCGTGTAAAAGAAACACAATGCACGTCTGGGTCAGTGGCACCCCAGTCGCGGCTTGACAAATGGATAGCTCCCGCACGAAGACGAGGCTCGAGAGTTTGGACTGCTTGCTGGGAGTCTTGGTTTACAACTTTGAAGTGTGAGGGTTATGCAGAAAGTCCTGTTCCGTTACTTGTGTGCCATTCAATGTCGGTGCCATGGCTGCCGCGGCTGCTGTCAGCCCTCGGGGCAAGATGCGAGCCTGAGCCGCCCACCTCCTGCCTGCAACAGCTTACCCATGCAGCTGCTGATTGCTTGGCCGGGCCATGGTCAACCGTGCCCTGGTGGTTGATACCCATGTTCTACCTTTTCGGGGTTGTCACGTCGGGGATGTGCAAGAGGCGACTCCACAAAGTTGCCGTGGCGAAGATGAAAGCTATGGATGAGGTGAAGGTGGGCTCATCTGGCAAGCCTCTGATCGACGCGAGGAAGAAAGCGGAATTGGCGGCATCTGCACTGGACTTTGGCGACAAGACTGGGGCCAAGAAATTCTTGTACGAGGCTTTGAGCTTGATCGACAACTGACAGTACCCACGTGCGCTTCCAACCGTCGGGTGCTCTCCTTGGCAATGCTAAGCCGCTTTGCATGAAACCCGTGCAAGTTGCACGGAGCCAGACTTGTACAGCACGGTCATGGCATTCACAATTTGCCAATCACCATGGACAGCATGCAAAGTTAGGGTGGCAGGAGGCAAAGAGGCGCCCTTTGCATGTGTGTGGCATGTATGGCAGCCTGAGCGGATGCCTTGCGGAGCGATGTGTGACGATGTGGTGCCGAAAGGCGCTCCTGATCCAGACTTGGGGAGGTGCATGCGCTGTGTCCTTGCAGGGTGCTTGGCCGACTTTGCAGGTCAGTGCGACCGCCTCCCAGCTGGAAGGCTGGAGATGGTGACCGCAGGCACAAGCTCGGCAAGTGTTGGCAGCAAGGCCGACCTCCCCAGCGCCCCCGGCGCCGGCATTCTGAGCCCGAGCAGCCGAAGCCCCGGCGCTGACTCCGTTGTCCGGCGGGTTTTCCTCGCCCGAGGTGACGGCGAGGATGAGGTCGGGAAGCAGCTGAGGCTCGCCATGAAGGCGGCAGCCGTCCAATACGGCCGGGCGCTGAGCTTGCGAACACCGATGCGTCATAATATGGCCATGGTTCAAAACTAATGGTACCATCTTGGGATAGGTGCCCCACCCATTTTAATCTATTTTAGTTGGGATGTTCACTGGGGTACGGGGTTTTGACCCATGGCCATATGCGCCTGGTGGCCTCAGGACGGCAAGCCGCCCGACAGGGCGCCGCCCTGGCAAAATCTGCCGCAGTCCACGTCTACATGCATGTGGAGGCCAGGGTGAGACGGGGGAGAGTTCGTGCAAAAGCATGCTCTTGCACCACGCGTGTTGTGCACGCCCCCCCCCCCCCCCCACAAGCAGCCATTTTGCGGAGGCGAGTGCGTGGACAGTGAAGGGCATCGCCTTTACAGTCTCTCTTTTTCTCTTTGTTGTGTCATTGCTGCGGCCCTGGTTGGGTCATTGAGAGCGAGAGTGAGACGAATCGCTGAAACTGACTTCAACTGAGGCTTTCCATTTTCAACGTCTTCTACGCTTTGGCGCATCCCCTGTACTACCTGCTGGCCACCTACAACCTGGGCTTCGCCCTGGCCTCGCACCTCCGGCCCGAGCCCTGCCCTACTCGTGGAGCTCAGGCCGTGATCATTTTTGCAAGGGCCCCAGAAGCAACTGGGCTGGCGGGAAGGGTTTTTTCCCAACTGGCGTGTGTTTTAGGATTTTGAATGTACTATATTTTTTGGTCCCCCCCCTCCCTCCTCACAGAACGTGAACTACTTAGAAGGGCCCTTTCCTGCGCCTGTAGTGACTCATACTGACAGAAATAGACACGATGTGAGAATCACTCGGTGAGAGACCGACAAAAACCCGTGTTCTTTCTCAAGTTCCGCTGAGCTACACTGTGCCTTCCGAGATCATGGAGGGCCCCTCCGAACTGCAATGCGATTGCCCCGCGTCCGGCACCCAGCCCAACCTAGCCCCACCCAAAGAAGAAGCGCTGAGTGGAGCGAGGTGGGAGAAGCTCCAGCGCGGACTGTTCGGATGGGCTACTTTCTTGGCATCACGCACAGGCGCTTCGCTGCATGTGGGCCAAAGGGAGGGAGGGCGTGTCTCGTAGGGCTTGGGCCTTTAGGACGAGCTTTGTATTACTTCTTCGTGGGCACTCTGAATATGTTCATGATGCCCGGTGCCTAGGTTTTGACAAGTGGCTTTTGTGGCATGCTTTTTCCAGTAGCCTGTCAGAGGCCGCATGATTGGCTCTGGACGATGCGCACTCCTCAGTCAACTCGCCAGACTGGTTGAGAGCCGGTTGCTGAAATCTCATTTCGTAGCGCTTGGGATTGGTGCGGCTTGCCACACTTTCGCTCGAAAATGAGCGAAATTGATCGAGTTTTGCGGATTCTTCGTGCCTGGACTGCTTGAAACCCCAAACTTGTTTCAGAACTCCGGAGCTTGGGACGGTTCCGACACCTGCGGAGACTAAGTTTCCATTTTTGTTGTTTAGGAAAAGCGCAGCATTCCGGTTTTCAGGGTTGCGGGTAGGGCGCTTGAGTGGCTTTGGCTGCTTTTTTCCTTATGAGCACTGCATCTTTGGCTCGGTTGTGTGGGTGTGGCATGCGCTTATCGTGCGGGAGGCCCGTGTGCAGTTCTGCGCGGGCTCACTTGAGCGGGTGTGCTTCCACTTCCGGCAAAAAAGAGGCGGTCTGGATGCTCATTGAATTCAACAAGCCGGCTTGAAAGAGGCGGTCTTGTGAATCATCGCGGATGAGGCACATGCGGCTGGCAAATTGCTATCATCACTTCCCCAATCCCTCCTCTGAGTCGGGCGATGCGCGGAGCCACAGCGGAGCCACAGCAAGAGGACAACTAGCAAAATACGTCGCGAGCGAGCACCCGGCTCCAAGCTGGTGAAGCTTCGTGTAGTCAAAGTCGTAGCCGAAACAAAGCGGCCCGCAAAGTGGGAGATGCGTGCATTGATTCTCAAGGCCTGCCTGAGCACCCGCCAAGATAGATGTTTGGGCTGCCAGCCCAAACTTGGGGCTACAGGGAAGCGCACCTTGAAGTGAGGCTGTCATCATCTCAACTCGGAAGCCAGGGCTTGGCCATCTTTGGAACGCATGCGTTTCGTTGCTGCCCCTGCAGGCTTGGTTCACGCTTAGAAAGTGTCACACTTGGGGCCATATGTTTTTGGGGCACACCTTTCCGGAATGCGGGCCAGCATGATACCAACAGAAGAACTCATGCCTTCTGGGAGCTTCTTTCGATGGGCGTGGTTGTTCGCCCGCCGAGGATTTACTTTGCATTGGGTGCATCCCTTGCGTTCGCCTTGCCCTCAGCAGCATGGACAAGTACTCCAACAAAGGGCAATCGCGTGCCAACGTGTTCCACCTTTTGGCAGATCTAAGACTGGCTGGCGGAGCGTTCAAGGAGACCCTAACGCTGACAGCCTCATTTAAGATATTATAAGAGGGGCCGCGTTCTCGTTCATACACTGAAGGTTGGTTTGCTATCTCTCCTGGATCGCTACTTTGCTGCACTTGTTGGGTTTGAGGCACTGAACGCCGCACTGGCAGAGGCTTACCTCCGAAAAGCATTTACAACTCAGGATATGGCTGCACCACAGTCTTTTGCCCAGTGATGCGCTCCCATGTTCGCGGCAAGCACCCTGGCATCGATCTTGATCTCCCGCAGATCGCTTCTTGGCTTAGAGCTCTCCAGAATTCTGTTGTCATTTCGAGATGCGTTGGTCCCCTGCGCTGTGGTCATCAAAAGCCCGTTAGAATGGTCGGAGGGTGTGTTCATGAATGACTCCTGGAACGCGACGCTTGCCCACAGCACATTCTCGTTTCGGGATTGCAGGGGGCCCGCCTTGATCTTTTCGAATCCTGGGTGGAACGTGCTTGCACTTTGGTCCGACAGTGGCCCAGCAAGGCACTTGGGTCTGAAAGGTGGGGCACAATGAGACAAGGAAGGCTTGGCCAAAGTCACGGCTAGGGAGACAACAACCTGGCAAATTTGAACATGTGTGCTACAGCCAGAACCATGCAGCCCTTTGCTGGCAATACTTTGGGATGATTTGCAGGGGGTGTTGTCGGAAGCTGAGGAGAACGGCCACCCGCACGGCCGTGGCCCGAGCTCAATTGGAGCTGACCTGTGCAGACACTCAAGTGGGGCCCCGGGCCGAGGTTTGTCTCCTCCCCACGGGAACTATCCTCGCTCGCCGGCGCGGTCGCCGGCGCAAGGAGGGCCAGCGAGAATACAGGAGAGAATGGGGGCGGGCTATTTGAGGGTGCTGGCAACCTGGCGTCGCTTGGGCCTGTGATGCGGTGGGCAGGAGATGGAACAGCTACTCAATGCTGAAATGGGCCAGTCTGCAACTTGGGCCTTCTCACGTGACAGAGAAGGCTGTCAGTCTTGAATGTTTGCATCAGGATGCGACCGTATTAATGGCTGGCACGCCGGGTCTGGGTCCTGATTTCAGGGCTTTCTTGCCTGCAAGTGCAAGTGCGCTTTGATCGAGGCATCGTGGCCTGCAAGAGGCCAGCTTGGAATACCCAGCCGCGACATTCCCAAATGTGGGATCTCGTCATCTCGTCTCACTATGGCCGTGACCACGTGACCACGCCGTGAAAAGGGGCCATCGGTGCGAATGACTGAGCCTCTGGGACGGCACCCGTCTGGTGGCAAAGCAGCCGAGGATGAGTCGCAAGATGGGCTCTACCTTCGGCCTACAGCCGCCGCAGCCAAACCCACACAAGCCTGGCCAGCTCCTCAATGCCAGCGCCGTCGCAACAAACCAGCGCGGGAATGGGACTGTAATGAGTCCGGCTATCCTTTTTTCTGCGTGCTGCTGGTCAGGCGACAGGTACATGCATGCCAAGTTTGAAAAGAAGAAGGCGCGCGTCTTTGTAGGCTCTTGGCATGTTTCTCTTGTCGTTTGTGCCGTGCTCAAGGTGTCTACTGTTCGCCCATTGTTGACGGAATGCACCGCGTGAGCAATCCTTTAGCATCCGTGCGTGCCCGTTTGACACAGGTGGCCAGGTTGGATCCTTCTCAGGTGAAGGCCGCCGGCGCGCTGGCAGCTCGGGGCGAGGGATGGATCCAACGGGCCAAGGAGAGATGCGGGAAATTGCTGCGTGGAGACGTCGTCTCTTTTCCCAATTTTCGAGCTGGCTTTGAATTGGGTTCTTTTCTTCCAAGGTCGACCTATGCCCCCGAGTTGGAAGGACAAAGGCGAAGTGCGGGGGCTGGCGCTTGCAAGCACCCTCCAAGACCGATGGACGAACACCCACAGGGGCCTTGGAGTCCTCTTGGCTGCAGGTGGGCGATGCATTATTCCTTGCAGCTGCAGACAGGCGGCCAGCAGGGGCCCTGGCGTGAGAGAGTCTTGGCGAGACTGAGATTGCGCAACGAACTGATCGTTTTCTCACTCAGGAGGATGAGATGACCTGCCCCGATCTAGCCGTTTCAATGCGTTTCACCTCCAAAGCGTCCGGTGGGGCGCAGTGTCACAGGAGTTGTCCGTGTGCATTGCTCGCAGGTAGCCTTTATTGCAGGTTTACCAGCACAATTCAGAAAAACATATTTCACCTGGCTTTGAGCGATGGCACGGTCCAGGTTGCATTTTCGTGTAGGCAAGTGCGGTGAGACCACCTTGAAACAAGGGGGTTTCATCATGCAAGGAGCGATTTGATGTAAAAAAGGGGAGAGAGGGACTGTGTTGCGACCATTTTCCTCCCAAGAAGTTACCAGAAAATCTGGGTTGCTTGGATCTACGCACCCAGCCGTGGTGCCATCCCCAGCAAAACGTGCGTCAAGGGTGTACCTGCCGCAATCGTGCTTGAACTGCTCAAGAATCCGTTCTGGACCTGGGTCAGCGAGATCCACGGCACTGGCCCCAGCGCTGTCCGTGGTATCTCCGAAGGAAGCAATATATCTTTCCTATGGTTGCGAAATCCATTTCGCACCGCCTAAGAAACTCTGGAATACACATTCCCCTGTAAATACCAGCAAACAATGGTTCCCCATGGTTTCAAAGTGGTGCGAAATGGATATCGTCCATGGTACAGGCTGCAATGGTGCCTTTGCAATGTATGCAGTGCCCCAGCAATGCAATGCTCGTGACGACCTGGCAAGGGGGGGAGGGCGTGAAGATTGTGAGCGCCAACGTGGGAACCGGGCGTGTGCATTGTGCACATGTTGGGGAGCAGGAGGTTTGACTCGCGTGCGGTCTTGGCTGGTCTCGTCTCCCGCCAGCCACACATTGCCCAGAAGCTTTGGTCGGGCGACAGCGTCGGCTCGCCTCTCTCAAGTGCTACCCTTCGGTCCGCACTCTCTCGAGTGATCTCATGAATTTTAGTGCTGCTGTCAGCAGCCTCAAGGGCTGAGTGTAGATGCAGCTTCGCCCTTTGACGCAGCAGCTACATGTTTCTGTTGTGCAATGTCTTAGTCTTGTAAAACCGCAGGAAGGTAGAAAGGTGGTTGTGAGAAGGTCGGAATGACACATTGTTGTAATTGATGGTCGGTCAAGTCATGCAGCTCTGTCGTTTTGCAAGCTTATCACGGTTCCAGCAGCGATCGGCTTATTTGAGACACTGCAGGGATGAAGCCTTTAGATAGGGCTTGTTCTGCGAGCGGGGCGCAGTCAGTGAAGCCTGTGCAGTGGCAAACTTATGGGTGATTTCCCTTTTCCGACGTCGTGGTTGGCACTGGCAGTAAACCAGAGGTGGTGCTTGAGTGATGTCGAGTCTTGGCATTGTGGCATTTGCAGATGTACCAAGCATCATTGTAGTGTTCTCTGGAAAGACCAACGTTGCCGTAGTGCCTAGGTACCTGAACTTACTGAACACTAAGGGGCAGTTTGTAGTGAGAATGGCCGTGGTACTTGGTCTGAAACAGCAGCGGTTGGCTGTACCATTGCAAGTCTAATCTGCGCAAGTACACCTATAGTTGCAGCGACCTGTTGCTACCGAGTTCAGCTGCCTGATCACTTGTGGTTGCATGAGTATTCAATAATCATCAGACGTGGCCGCGTAATTCGGTGACTGCATGTTGGAACGTTTTGAAACGGGTTGTCATTGTCGCCGGCTGTTGTTTTCTATAGAGCAATGTATGGAAGGGCGTAGCAGGACAATTCCCCATACCCTTGGGGGGAAACAATGTGAACGTGGAATGCATGGAGGGGGGTGGGTGCACGTTCTCTTAGTTGGGGATGGGGATCTCAAGCTCGATATCTTAGTGTGTCCTTGCATGTTCATTTGCTTGCGAACTCGCACTGTTGCGCAGAGAGAGGTGTCCGATGATGTTGCGTGTGGAGAGTTTTTAGGCTGACAATGTCGCGTTTGTCGCCTGCAGCGGAGCTTGTGTGCACGCATAGGTTAACTGTAGGAGCATATGTTGGTTTTCAGTAGCATTGCTGGAGCTCAAGCGGGTGGCCTCGTCACATCAGGTCCAGGAATGCAGCATGAAGCCGGCTACCGGGAAGCGCGGCTGGGGACCTAGCGAGATTTCCTCAACAACGGGGCAAGGGTCAATGGTCATTTGTCCCAGCCCATTTCCCACTACAGTAGTCTTTTGGTGAGTGTGCCCCATGTCATCCCTTCGGTTGCCGTAGGTGACGGCAAAGTCGACTGGCGCTCAAAAAGGGTACCCATTCAAACTAAGAGCCGCTCGGAGACGGCCGAAAAAAGAAGCCAGCACCCAGCCATGTAAGCCGGTTACCTGGAGCGGTCCCTTTTTGATACAGATGCGGATGGCTTGAGCCCACTGGAGGCCTTGGCAATCCGAGGCTCCCAGCCAGCGATGGCACGCTGGCAGCGCTAGTTCTGCTTTCGGCGCTGAAGGGGGCGGACTTCCAGCTGCTGCCATCCTCGAGTCCTGGCAGCAGGGGCTTGCAGCATGGTGGCAGGCTGCATGAAAGTAAGCGGTTTGGTAGTTGTCTGGCAGCTGGCAGAGTCCGTCCTGAAGGTTGAATGCTTTTTGCTGGAAGTAAGCAGTCCTTTGGCCGTTCGGGTCCGTTCTGAAGGTTGACGTCTGATTTCTTAGAGGCTTTTTTTGCTGTTGGTCAAGCAGCAGCTGGAAAAGGCGCGCGCCTTTTCCGTCCGGCCGAGGTTCCGGGCCATGGAGCACGAACTCAGCATGCGCCCAGATTTGCTGGGCTTGATGGCCCTTTGCCAGGCGCGGAACGCGGAAGTCAGTGGCCCTTTCGGTGCTGCTTCGGCATATGTGATGCCAGGTTCGGAAGCATACCTTAGGAGGTGAGATGTATTGACATGAAGCAGCTTAGGGGTGTATCAATCGATTGCGAACGTCGAAAGGCGTAAGATCTAGAATGCTGCGGAGGAGAGGCGAAAGCAGCATGTGAAGGTTGGGCAGCAAAGAAGAAACCACAAGCAGACCAGCCGCCAGCCTAATTTGACACAGACCTTCAGCTCCTGCAGGGAGTGGCCTGTGCGGTCACTGGCCCGCTCTGGGGGAATCTGGTGGATGCCGGCTGCTCTAGGAAGCTCCTTCTCAAGGCCGGTGGGTTGAATGGGAGGAGTCGGAAAGTGTTCCTGCATCGTCGCGGCGAGCAAAACCCATAAAAAGTTAAGCCAAAAGGAAGGATAGGTTGCGGCCGCCACCATTTGTTTTTACCAATTCCAAGTTGGTTGTGCACCACCTTGGCCATCTGTGGATTTGGATCTGCATCTTTGGTCTGAGTGGGGCTGGCTTCGCAACATGGAAACCAGAGCTGCTGTGGATGAATTCCTGCACGACCTAAGAAACCCTGGCGGATGATTCCCCTGCAAATACCTGGAAAACCCACGATTTGGCCCATGGTTTGAAAGTGGCGCGAACTGGATTTCGTCCACACCCAGTACCACTGGGGAAGCACGTTCCAGGCCTGTCGGGCGACTCAGCTTCACGGGTTTCACACCCAGTACCACTGGGGAAGCACGTTCCAGGCCTTTCGGGCGACTCAGCTTCACGGGTTTTGATGTGGCCACGTGAGGTTGGCACAGGCCTTTGGGGGCTGTGCACCTTTCTCCTGGCGCCGCTCGGATTGCCTTCAGGAGAGTGGTTTCAAGGACATGCAAAACCTAGAGATGCCTTGAAAGGGTTGTTTTCCCAGTCCCGGTCTCCTTTCTTGGTACTCTGCCTTTCCGAGGTTTACCTCCGAGCTGTGGGCGATGCTGATACTTCGCACCCTGAATGGCGCGGCCTTGTCGATGCTGCTCCCCGTGGTGCAATCCTTCATCGCCGCGCGGGGCTCGGCCGACGCGTCTCGTATCTCAGCCTCCCGTCGCGAGCTCGCGGAAGCCCAGGACCTCACCACATCCGATGACGTCGGCCAGGTCTGTGGGAAGGCGGGCCGAATGTGGTGTTCAGTATGTTTGTCCCATGGTGGGAAGTTTTTGCAAAAAACGTCAAAGAGTCAATGGGACCGGGCGAACTTGGAAGATTTCGTTGAGGTGTACTGTGCTGCTAACTTCGGCCAAGTGCTCGCCTGCCTCATAGTTGCCCTGGCCTTGGGCCGCGCAGAGTTCTCCCACCTTTTCAACTCAGGGCAACATTTGGCCTGGCAAGGGTGCTCCACACTTCCAGGGCCGCATGTGGGGGGCGGATTAGCGTTGGCCAGCTGTTGCCGTCGTTTCCATGGGGCAGCCGAGGTCCCCATTTCGGAGCACTACATCCTAGGCTTCATGGGCTGGAGGCTCGCCCTGGCAGTGGTGGGGGCTCTGAGCTGCCGGGCTGCAAGGGCTTTTTCTTTTAGGGTTTGTGTTTCAACATGCTGTGGGTGGCTGCGAAATCTGCTTCTCGCACTGTTCATAATCCCTGGAATGGTTCGATCTCCCCCGCAAATACCAACAAAGCACGGGCTCTTATGGTTTCTTAGGCGGTGCAGGAAATCGTCCACCCACAGTAGGCCACCCCGAAATTGCCGATAGTCCTTCTGTTTTGGTCTGTAGACCAACCCCCAAGACAAGAGTGCGGGACAACGCAGGGAAATCCACTTGCCCGCGTGAAGATCAGGGGCGGGGCTTGCAAGGGCTGCTTGAGGTTTACTGGTGGTTCTCCTCGTGGAGGTGGCGGTGGAAGATCTGCCCACGCCGCCCTGGCACAAATTGACCCCCGTGCCGCTGTTCGTTTGGGGTCTCAGGGGCCTGTGAGTAACTGACAGCTACTGTTGGCACGGTTGGTTTGAGGAGGACGTGGGGCGCAACCCCGAATTTCGCGCAAGAACAGCTGGGGGGGGGATACCTCAATTTTCCCAAGCGCTACTTGAGAAGCAAGCAGTTTTGCCCGGGATCCCAGCAGGGGCTCGCCGGCAAAGTTCCGGGCAGCTGCGAGGTGTAATGGGATAGGTATCGCTCCAACCGGCTGGGGGTTCCTGGCGTGCATCTCGTGGCCAGGACCTGGGACCCGAAGCGTTTCGGCCTCCTCCGCGCCTTGGGTTGGGAAGCGTCGTGCGAACGGAAGGCGTCCCATGGCCGCGGTGCGCGTTTTTGGCCTCGTCGCTGGGCGTCGCTGGGCTGTTCGAGTTGCCTCACGTCAACTTGGGCCGCGGCATGGGCGGAAAGGGCTCGCTCGTTCCGTGCAAGGCGAGTTCAAAAAGCTTGGGCAGTTCTTGCGCATCGGCACGTTTCGGGCTTTTGCCTCAGTCTCTTTTTTCTGGCGACTCGGCGCTCGCGTCCCGCCAGGTGATTATTTTGCAAGGGGTGTTTGGCACTATCCCGGGTGCCGCACAGACTTTCACCACCATGCCACTCGGCGAGCCATGAGCTCCGATAAGAAGGAGCAGCCGTCAGCGAGCTGCAGGTACTTCCAGTACCTTTCCATCAACAACCACATGCGCCAGTCCCGGAGTTTTTGAGTTTTTGAGAGACATTTGGGCAGTTGGACCTGGGCAACAATTGCATGTCGACACAACTTCTTTGTACCAGCCTTGTGGCTGGGGAGGCCACGCAATTTCTTTGCACCTCAGCTGAGGTGCGGGCTAATTACCGCCATCCGGACTGTGGGGGAGGGCATTGGCGGCGCACTTGGAGGCTTGACGGCGCTCTGAGAGCGCGGGTCACGCCAGTCTTTGAACAGAGCAAAAGCACCTGCCCAAAATCTAGGAATTCCCACCACCAGTATTCCAGTCGCCTGCAGGCTACTTGGGTGACAAGGCGAACGCTGTGAGTCCCCGCTACGGCCGGACATGCGTGGCAATGCTCTCTGTGACTGCGGCCTGGCATTTAGATGACATTCACGTGAAGGCCTCAATTTGAGACAGAAACTGAAGTTTCTGAGGCCAGCACTCCCTTCTTCTACATTGTATACATGGCGATCCCTCGTGAAGCCAGCCTTGGCATCTCGGACGCAGCGATGTGTAAGCCAGGCCCTCACGCAAAAAAACTCCTCGCAGGCATAGGTGTCCTTTTTGGTTGTTTTGCTTAGAAAATAGAAGGCCCTGGTTTGCCTGATGGTTCAATCATTTACCAGGGCCATCTATTTTCCAAAAAGGACACCTATGCTCGCAGGCCTCTTCTTCGCGGGGGTGCTCTTCACCGCAGGGCTGTTGACCTGTTGGGAAGTGCCTGGGTGTCTTCAGCCAATGGCTGCCCGGATGCAGGAACAGCTCCCTCCAGATGCATCCATGCTAATGTCAGGGCTTGGCTGCTGTTCGCCAGCGCGTGGCTTCCCACATCTCTACAGTAAATTATGGATACCTGATTTCGGCCCTATAGGCTAAGACTTTTAAGAGCTTTGCGTGTCCGAGGTCATGGACATCGTTCCCAGGCGACAGTGGCCTGGCCGAGGTTGGCCAAAATGGGATTGCCCGATGTCAGTGTGCTTATTTGTTTTAGTCTTATCCTGCTGTGTGCAAGAGGGGCAAGAGACTGGAGATGCAAAAGTGCCACCGAGTCTTTCCTCCGCCTTCTCCTGGGATGTTGCAATAGACAGCAGCTTAGAGCGATGCCAGTGCAACATGTGCAATTTCGATTGGCAGAGTTTGGCGGCAGCATCACTCTTTTTCCTTCCCAGGTCTTCGCAAGTGGCAATACCATGGGGCCTTTGCTCGTTGGATTTGTGGCCCAGGAGCAGTTTGGGGTCGGTAGCTAGGGGGCCCTTTTGGACGGGATTCTGGGGGTTGCTTGTGGGTTGCAAACCGTCGGAGGGTTTCACTGCCGCAGGATGTCTTTGGCTACCACCAGATGCGGGGGAGTGTCGCGCATCGTTGGCACACTTGGAAGTAATTGCTTCATGCCTGACTTTGCTGCGGCACAGTTTCTCAGAGATGTGTTTTGGCCACACGCTGCGGGGGAGTGTTTTGTTCTCCGTGATTGTGGGCTGCACTTGTTCTCTGCAAGCTCTGCGCACCTGCTTGCTGGTCCTGGACTTGATCCCTACCCCTTGAACCCGCGAGCCCGAGGCGGACATGAGCAAGGAGGTGCGGGAGCACAACGCCTCTGCGCTGGGCAAGGCGCTGTTCTGGAGCTGCCTGGTGCCTTCCCTCCTTTGCTCGGGCCCCGGTGGTCACAGTTTCCCCCGCCGGTGTGGGCGTTTCGGTGGTGCAGTGCTGCGGTCGGGCCTGTCGTGTAATTTCTGTTTCTAGAGGCGCAAACGGGATCAACCGGATCGCTTGGTGCGATCCAGATCATTGAGCTGTGGCTGTTGCTTGTCTCTCAAGGTGCTGCAAACTTTGCGCTGCTCTTCTGGACTTACCCAGCCGACAAAGAGCGGCACAAGGACCCTTGGGCTGCATATGAGAATGTATGTTTGAGAAGCGTGACTTTGCGACCTTCACCAAGCGACGTGGCCTGACCTGGGTCATGGTGCCAGAGAATGTCACATTTTGAGAAAGGGGTGGTGAGAGCTCTGGGATATCACGTTGACCAGGATGCTGCAGATCCTTGTTAGCGGTTAGCGTATCTCTTGGGGTGACCGTTGAATGGGGTCTCTTGTATGTGGAGCTCCCTCGCTTTTGTTTTGTGCGTGCATTTGTCAACTGCGTTGATGAATCCAAATTGCCATTCAATTCCTCCAAGATTTACTTTCCTTGTGGGGAGTGGGTGCTTTTGAGGTTTCCTTTGCGATTTTGGTCGGGTGAAGGGATGACGCGACTGGCCCAGTGGGCCTTAGGAGGAGCTCGAGGCAGAAAAAGCCGACCGCGACTCCCACGAGGCAGCCTGGCTGCTGAAGGACGGAAGGCGATGCGTCAAGGCCGTGCTTTCTCGCCCATTCCGCTCCAGGACGAGGGCAAGCTGGAGTGCCACGCCTGACTGTGATTCTCTTTGCGCGATGCACGGAGCAAAAAGCCCAGCCAGACATCGGTCTGTAAGAAGGTTGCCTTGCGCGTCTTGCACATGAGGTATCAAGCCCTCTGATTCATGTGTTTGACACCTTGATGGAGGTGAGGTGGCCTGGCTGGCGATGGTTCTGCGGTTGAAGGTGAGGCTTGAGGTTAGGTTGAAGTTTGGGGTCTGAAGTTAAGTTGAGCTTGCAGGGTCGGTTTTGAGTTTGAGGCTGTTTTTGGACACGGGTGCGAGTATAGGTACTTTCGTTGCAGCTTTCAGGCCAAAGCTTCATAAAGCAGATCGGTAATTAGATGATATTACCCGATATACGAGCCACGGTAGAATCACCATGCGTTTTCATGGCCTGCCCTTCAGCTGGGCTCGTGGAATTTTTCTGGCGCTTGCCGCCGCGACCGGTGTGTGGGCCAAGGGCACCAGCAATTGCCCGGAGGGTGCGGCCTGGTTAGAGGACCTGAACTCGTACAACAAATTTCCGGTGAACACGTGGGTGCCGAGCTTGGACTTTCGGGACATTTCCTTTACCATGATTGCGGACATCTACGTCTACGACCCTGCCAGGAGCGTGGACCTGCTGGTTGGGAAATCAAGGTGCGAACGCAAATTCCGGACAATTGCAGTTGTGCCTGACCAGTACTCAGCTCAGGTTTGGTTTCTACCTCAATGATCTGGATGTCAGCTTTACGCTGACGGCTGCCACCTGGACTCGCATCACCGGTGTCTATGATGCGGCCAGTTCTGAGCAACGGTTGTACGTCGATGAGGTATTGGTGGGCACGAGGTCTGCAACTGCCTTCCAAGGCACCGACAAAGAGAACATCCAGATAGGCTTGAAGTACGACGACCCAACAAGCTTTGATGGAAAGGGTGAGATTCGCAACGTGTACCTGTACCAGGTTGCCATAGATGCCGCAAACATCGGCATTTGTGCAGGCGACCCCACTACCACGACAAGCAGCACCAGCAGCGCCACCAGAACCAGCAGCAGCGCCACCAGCATCACCAGCAGCAGCAGCACAACCATCAGCACGACCAGCAGTGCCACCAGCATCACCAGCAGCAGCAGCACAGCAAGCAGCACGACTAGCAGTGCCACCAGCATCACCAGCAGCAGCAGCAGTGCCACCAGCATCACCAGCAGCAGCAGCAGCAGCAGCAGCAGCAGCAGCAGCAGCAGCAGCAGCAGCAGCAGCAGCAGCAGCAGCAGCAGCAGCAGCAGCAGCAGCAGCAGCAGCACAACCACAAGCACCAGCAGCATCAGCAGCACAAGCAGGACGAGTTCCAGTACCAGCACCTTGATCACAGTGACGAGCACTACAACATCGACTGTCAGCATGGTAGTTGTGACCCCAGGTGAGGTCGAGACAGTGCAGCAGGTGACGCAATCTTTGCTGAATGCCAGCTTGCAGCATGTGGAGAAGGTGGTGATTGTTGACGGTGTGGGGGTCGCCTCAGCGGTGCCTTTTGAGGCAAGCGATTTTCTGCCACAAGTCTCTGCAAATTATGTTGGCAGATCTGGTGCGAACGTCTCGGCTGGTCTGCCAATGCAACTGCTGAATGGGTCTGAAGGTGACAGGTACTTGGTCTTCGTGTCCCTGGATGATGCCATTGTTGCAGAACAGGCAGGCCAGCCCGAGTCTGACTCTGGCAGAAAACTCCAACTGCTGGGTTCAGTTGATGTTTCTGTTGTGCGATCAGACGGGACACAAGTTCCAGTTTCGTCTGAGCAGCCGATTTTCATCCGGGTGTCTGAGCCCTTGGCGGAGCCGAATGCCATTTGCGCCTTCTTGACTGCTGAAGGGCTGTGGTCCCGTGCTGGTGTCCGCAAAGCCACAGAGGACGAGTTGAGAAATGCATTGGGAGAGTATTATGCTCCGGGGTTTTGGTGTGCATCGACGCATTTGACAATCTTTGCAGCTCTTCTAGAGCTTGCCCTGGCCTGCTCGAATGTGGAAGTGCTGTCCCCACATATGTTGCAGAGACTGCAGGACAGCACATGGTACCGCCGTACTCCGGGCATCATGGTTATCTCGACGATGGTGTGCTGCACGGCAATCGTGCTGCTGGCCATGGTGGCAGACCGCAGGGTACAAGCCCAACACCTGTGGAAGCAGCAGTTCCTGCTGACTGCAGTTCCCCCTGCGCGTGGACCCTGCTTGCCCTGCAACCCCTGCCATTGCAGCGGCAAGCCCAGTGCTGCGCCCGCTAAAGATGCCAAGGAAGTAGCAGGCGGCGATGCAGACATGGCGTTTGAGCCTCAAGGCCTTTGGGCCCGGACAATGCACCGGACCATGACCTGGGCCGCAGAGGGCAGGGCCGCGACCATTTCCCTAGCTGCAGAGGGCGTGTTGCGTGGCAGGAGCCATGCCAAGCGCATGGGCACCAAGGTGGTGGTGCGTGGCGTGCTCCAAGCACTAGCCGCCAACTTGCGTGTAGAGGAGGGGACATCTAGGCTGAAAAGGCTGCAAGGCTGAAAGGAGAAAGCCAACATTTGGTGGCTTTTGCTTCGCGATTTGTGGGTTCAACCTGGAGCAAGCAAGCATTGGCGAAGCTCTGAAGTCTATGCCTTGAATCACTGACTGCCCCCTAGTTGCAGCCTCAACCCAAACTCTTGAACTCGGACTTTTCACCTACCCAACACATACATTTGCCCCCCCCTCTCCAAGTGGCGCTGGTGGCGGACAAACAGTAGCGTGCGCACGCACGCACACGCACGCACACGCACGCACACGCACGCCCACCCACCCACGCACCCAGCACGCACACCCACCCACCCACCACCCACCCAGCCACCCTCACCCTGGTCAGGAGTCTTCGCTTCGGGGGCACGTGTGGAATGGCCAGGGCTGGGTGCAGGGGAGCCTCGCGGTCGCCAAGAGCAAGCGCCTGGCGCAGCTCACCGCGAACCTGGACGACGAGCTGCCCCAGATCTTCACCTCCTGGGGTGCCCGGGGCTAAACCTGAATTCGCAGGTTTCGGGGCAGCGCACCCGTCAAACAGGTACCAGCGCAGCTCAAACACGGCTTGCTGATGTCCACGCCGCCTTTCATCCTGTAAGGGCAGTGTCATTCTTGAAACTATTGAAAAGGCATGGCGCATGGGTTTTCAATGATTTGTCAGTGTTGGTGATGATGAGCCGGACTGGCAACACCAGGGCAGGTCATGTTTGCTGACCATGCCACCATTGCCACAGCATAGGAGGTACACCATGTCAGGTCACATGGAGAAGCTTTACGATTATCTAAGTGTGGAGTTGACTTTTGCCAGGCAAGCGCCGCTGGTGGCGGGCGGCATTGTCCTTTTGGGCCTGCCATCCACTGGTGCCGATGTTTTACGTCTGCTTTCACATCACTTCGGCCAAACGCGCAGTGATATTTTCTGCCTTCCTTTCGGGCTCTTTGGCACTATCTGCGCTCTTCATGTCAACTGTAGGTGGGACACTGGATGCAGCTAGTGATTTGGAGTGCCCAGTGGACGACTCTGCTTGGCGCTTTCTGATGATCGGCCTTGCCTCTATGGTGCTCAATGCAGGGCCCCGCTTTTTCCTCTTCCGGTTGGGGCAGCGTCCCTTTGCCGCGGAGGCCAGGGCCAACAGCCAGTGGAGGGCATGGCTGCGGGATGACGCTATTTTCTGGCTATTTGCAGTTGCCTTAGTGGGTTTCTACTGGCTATTCATATGTTCTTTCTTGGCCAACCTCTTGCCAACGGATGATTGGAAATGCATGCTGTGCTTTGCCACAATCCTTGTGGGAAAGCTGTTCATCTCCCCATTCTGCAGAATGTGCTTTCACCTGGTGTGTGCGGAAGCGACTTTGCTTGTCTTCCCGGACGTTCTCGCAGCGCCTCCCCCGGAGCTGGGGCTGCACATGGACGTCAAGGGCGAGGAGCCCAAGGAGCAGAACGAAGTGGTGCGCCGGAAGATCGTCGAGCTGGCCAACCGCGGGATCCGGGTACGGGACCTGCTGGACTTCTACCAGAAGGTTCTCCAGGAGGACTTCTTCGACCCGGAGCGGTCAACGACCCACGACGTGGTCCGGCATGCGATCATCCCTTGGTCGCTGAAGAGCGGCGAGCACGACACGGATGAGGTGCTGGTGGATTTGGACCAGCTCACGTCGAGCTGTGGCTTGAGCTTCACGGATTCTGAGCCGCACGAGCCGCGCGGCTTTGCCTCGGCTTCGAACGTTGGCGTTGTCTTTGAGTTGTTCTTTTGACTCTTCGAACGTTGTCTTTCGATTGACAAAACATGCTTTTCAAGAAGCGCCCGGAGACCAGGCAGACTATTTCCGACCCGCCGTTGTATTTGTGTTTTTTGTCCCGAAGACCAAATTCAATAAGAATAGATCCTGTGACGCATTCTGATTGCCCCTTTGTCTCAACGGATATGCCAGGCTGAAGGGTCTGGCCTACGCCTCAGTGGTGAACAACTCACAGCCGGTGCCTGCCTTGAAAATGGTGACCCATGGCTGGGGCAACATCTTCCGCGACTTGGCGGGGAGTGTCCGTGAAAAAGAAACCGTGCCTTGCTGGCCACAAGCACCACCCAAGCACCACCCAAGCACCACCCAAGTCGCGACAAAGCGGCAACAAAACAAAAGGGTATTGAGCACTCTGCCACCAAACGTTGCTATTGCTTTTTTCCCAGTAGGGATTCGGTGCCCAGAAGGGCAGGCGGTTCGGCATAGAGACGTTTCCCATGTTCAAAGAACGAGGCCACCTGCTGGCAGCAGTTTTTGCAGATGCCTTGGGGCAAGAGACCTACGACGTGACATTGGAACTTCTGGACGAGCCGGAATTGAAGACAATGCGCTCGCAGCTGGCTTCTATGGGCAAGATGGACACCCCGTACTGGATATGCGTGCCTCGGCAAAGCGATTGTGAAGGACATGTTGCTCGTGTCTGGGACGCGCAGTGAGTTTTGTGTGCAGCGTAGGTTTCAGTCATGGTATTCACATAGGTTCACTTTCTCCAAAGAAGGCTTGTTTCAGTCCCGTCTCCCCTTGCTACTGTAACTTCCTGTGTCAGGTGGTTTCCATACCAGGAACCGGTGCAGGATCTTGCTTTTCCTAGTGGCTTCATGCGGAGCTCTTTCCCTGAGGTTTCGTTGCAGTCATGTTGGGCCTGCATCGCAGTCCACCAACTTACCGTTTGATTTGGCAGACTTGAAGCACACATTTTTGGACAGGTTTCTTCTTCGCCTTAGTTAAGGAACAAGTTTAAACTTGTTTCAGCAGGTCAGCTGGGGCTTGGGCGCAAAAGCAGATGCTTCAAGGATTCCTGACAGTTTTGTTTGTAGCGAGGCTTTGCTGCCCTTGGCGGTTAGGTCTTGTGGATTGAATGAGCAACGGGGCAAGTTCACCCTCAACATTTGGATCGCCTTTTTTCTCGGCTCCGCCTTTTCCTGCGCCTTTGTCTCCCTATGCCTCGACATCCCCAGGCCTTCTCCGTGAATCAGCACGCGGGCATATGCGGGCGGGTGCCAGAAGCGGACACGCTAGGCCGCCGCTTTACAGCCTGCAGCTGTGCCATGCCCAAGTTCTTCACAGGGGACGAGTGCGAGATGAACAAGCCTCGCGGCGGTTTGTTGGACGAGTTCGGAGGTTTTTGTTGGTCCTGCGTGCTGAGGATTTTCGTGACGGCTGTTTGTTTCCTTTCGCAGCGCTTTGGAGGCCAGAATTGAAGCTCGCGAGCACATGAAATGAACCAATGCCCCCCAAGTTTTTTTTGGGGCTTCTGGCATAGATTTGGCACATCAGGTTTGACGGTCGGAAGGGGCAGGTATTTCGATGCTGACGCATACCATCCAGCCTTGCTGTTGCTGTAGCTTGCCTTGATGGATGAACACTGTTCCGTGTTTCTAGTCGAGCGAGCGTCTCATTTGCAATGCGTGCCAGGTGGTTTGCGCGCTGTGTGTAAGTTGGTATTTGGTGCAGGCCGGCTTACAATGAATGCAATGCCCTTGCCACAGCGCACTGGACAAAAAGCGCCTCTTGAAGGTCAGATCGATTACAACCCTTTCCCCCGTAGAATCCATCAAGAGAGACCTACGGTGTGCGCCGTCAATTTCGGAGCTGGGAAGCCTTGTATGATTATATCCTGGAAAGAGCGTGGCCATTGACCGTCGCACGCCTGCCACACAAAACGCGTTTGTTAATTCGATCCGCGACTGACCCGACAGTGTCTTTTCAGAACAGCCAAAGAGCATAAACTTTTGTCTCACTGAAGTATGCTCACCCACCAACCCACGTTGAAGCCAACCCCCACCTCAACCAAGCCAAAGACTGCCTACCCCAAGCCCACCCCAAACCCACCCTCAACCCACTCAACCAACCGTGGACCCTAGTCCACAAGTCAGACACCAAAGGCCCAAACCAGCAAGCAAACAACCAAACAAATCACAATACCAACCAACCAGCCAGCCAGCCAGCCAGCCAGCCAACCAGCTAGCCAGCCAACCAACCAATCACCCAACCATCCACCGTGCTCCAGACGCCCTGAAGAGGAGAACGTTCGTATCAGCTCGGGCTTTGCAATCAGGGACTGTCTAAGCTTGAGCATGTAGAACGTTGCGGTTTGTGCTGCCGCGCCTGAAAGTCTGAGGTTCGACGACATGATCGAGTACCTACGTGAGTACAACGCACAGGAGCGCAAGGCAGGTCGAGAGACCGAGCGCTTTGGACAGGTGGTGGCAATCGACCTCGCGTTTGAACTCTTCACTCGCATTTGGTGCGTTGCTGAGCTGGTCCAAGCAGAGAAGTTGCATCTCGCTACCTGGGTGCGCGTTTTTCTGGCTATTGGCGTGTGAAGAATCTTCTACAAATCTCTTCGCCCCCACCTAGTTCAATGCAAATTTATTTTCGTTTCTTCTGCTTCTGACTTTTGGAGCAGCCCAGGCATCTGCCACAAGCGTTGAAGATGCATTCCCTCAGCTCGAGAGAGCGCTGCTTCTCGACTGCAGCCTTTTGATCAGTAGGTAGTGGGCGACATGCTTGCCACCAGCAGCTCCATGTTGGTCAGTTCATGTGGAAGCAACCCAAACCCCTTTCCAAAAAAACCCAAGCCACACATGGAATGGAAAAGGCTGCTGTGCAAAAGGTTTGGTTGTTACATGAAACAAGCTTGTGCCTTTTGGACATGCTCTGATTGATTCTGCTGAGTGTCAAGAAACGTTCGCATGTATTTATCCTTCCTCCCACCGCCCAGATCCACAGGTCTTGAGAAGTTGCGAGACTTGGACGTGCGGAAAGCGCAGGCCAGCTATGAGGCGGATCGCGACCTCGCGCCTTTACAGCAACAAAGTGGGCGGTCAGACTCGTGCTTCTGCTTCTGCTGCTTCTGCTGCTGCTGCCGCTGCTGCTGCTGCTGTTGGGTGTGCTGGTGGTGGTGGTGGTGGTGGTGGTGGTGGTGGTGGTGCTGGTGGTGGTGGTGCTGCTGCTGGTGGTGGTGGTGGTGGTGCTGCTGGTGGTGGTGGTGGTGGTGGTGGTCCTGGTGCTGGTGCTGGTGGTGGTGCTGCTGGTGGTGGTGGTGGTGGTGGTGGTGGTGGGGTTGTGGGGGTGGTTGCTTGTGTGTGTGTGTGTGTGTGTGTGTGTGTGTGTGTGTGTGTGTGTGTGTGTGTGGGGTAGCCCGCCAATCGGATACGGGGAGCCCGTCAATCGCAAACTGTCCCGTCCCGCCAATCACGGACTGCCAACCCGCCAATCGCGCACTGCCAAGCCCGCCAATCGCATCCCAACACCCGCCAGTGAAATCGAACCTCGAGCACTTGGTCAGGGGTTGAATTTGATGTTAGTCGACTTTGGTCGAGCGCAGTGGTTCGTGGCCCAATTTAGTCGGATTGGGCAAGTCTCCACTGGAAAATTCTTGACAGTCATTTGGTGGAATTTGGTCGAAATTGGTAGAATTTGGTCGAATTTGGTCAAGTTTGGTCGGGTGTGGTGTTCGGTCGAGTTTGGTCGAATTTGGTTGATTTGGGTCGAAATTGGTCGAATTTGGTCGCACGGGGTGGAGCGCTGTCAATTTTAATTGACTTCGAATTGAGTTTGGTCTTTTTTGGTCGAGCGCAGTGGTCCAATTTGGTCGGATTGGGCAATCCATCGCCAGACTGAATTCAACTGAATTCAACCGGAAAATTCTTGAAATTTTCCAGTCACATTCTCTAGGCTGAATTTGGACAAATTTGGCCGGGTTTGGTCGAGTTTGGTTGGGTGTGGTCGAGTTTGGTCGAATTTGGTCGAATTTGGTCGAGTGTGGTCGAATTTGGTCGAAATTGGTCGAGTTTGGTCCAATTTGGTCGAATTTGGTCGAAATCGGTCGTGTTTGGTGGATTTTGGTCGAAATTGGTCGAAATTGGTCGAATTTGGTCGAGTTCGGTCGGGTGTGGTCGAGTTTGGTCGAATTTGGTCGATTTTGGTCGAGTTTGGCGGAATTTGGTCGAAATAGGTCGAATTTGGTCGAATTTGGTCGAGTTCGGTCGGGTGTGGTCGAGTTTGGTCGAATTTGGTCGATTTTGGTCGAATGTGGACCTTGGTCGGATTGGGCAATCCATCGCCAGACTGAATTCAACCGGAAAATTCTTGAAATTTTCCAGTGCGATTCTCCAGGCTGAATTTGGTCAAATTTGGCCGGGTTTGGTCGAGTTTGGTTGGGTGTGGTCGAGTTTGGTCGAGTTTGGTGGAGTTTGTGGAGTTTGGTCGAATTTGTCCGACTTTGGTCGAGTTTGGTCGATGTTGGTCGAATTTGGTCGAGTTTGGTCGAAATTTGGTTGAAATTTGGTCGATTTTGGTCGAAGTCGGTCGAATTTGGTCGCGCGCTGTCTACTATAATTGACTTCGAGTTGAGTTTGGTCGACTTTGGTCGAGCGCATTGGTCCAAGTTTGTCGGATTGGGCAGTCCATCGCCAGACTGAATTCAGCCGGAAAATTCTTGAATTTTTCCGGTTGAATTGTCCAGGCTGAATTTGGTCAAATTTGGTCGGGTTTGGTCCAGTTTGGTCGAATGTGGTCGATTTTGGTCGAGTTTGGTCGAGTTTGGTTTGGTCGAGTTTAGTTGGATTTTGCTTGAGTTTGGCCGAATTTGTTCGAGTTTGGTCGAGTTTTGTCGATTTTGGTTGAGTTTGGTCGAATTCAGCCGGTCGATTTTGGACGATCTTGAGGATTTCGGACGATTTTGGTCGACTTTGTTTTTTGTAGTCCAAGTCTAGCACGCGAAGCACACTTCCGCAGCTTTAGCTCGAAAATCGCAACTTTATAGTACAAGTCTAGTACGCGAGGTACACTTCCGCAGCTCCAGCTCGAAAATCGCAATTTTATAGTGCAAGTCTTGTACGCGAAATGCACTTCAGCAGCTCCCGCTCGAAAGTCGCAACTTGAGGGTTATCGTTTTTTTTTGGGGGCTCCACAGGGTATCGCGCAGTTTGGACATATAATTCAACCCCTCTTGATAAAGTGGTCGACGTAGGTTTTGTCCGTGGCTCATATCACTCTAGGGTTTAGGGCTTCTGGTGGCCCACACACGCTGGCCCACACATCACTTTAGGGCTTAGGGCTTCTGCTGGCCCAACCTGGCTTTAGGGTTGCTGCTGCCCCACACCTCGCTTTAGGGCTTCCGCTGGCCCACGCACCACTTTTTATTTCGTAGGCATCGTCAAACGGAGGTGAAAGCCATCGAACTCGAATGTTCTGCTCCAAGACCTGAGGCTGGCTGTCCGATGGGAGATCAAACCGCGGGAATCGGGCGGCTGAGCCTTTGAAACTCCCGGGAGAATACACAAATGATCAAAAGCTGGTATGAAAGGGTGCAATGCTAACTAAATATGAAAGGGGTCAGTCTAAACCATTGCACATAGTCATAAGGGCAGAAAGCTTTCGACGCCTTAAATGAAGGCTTCCTTTCGAGCCTTTGTGGGTCGGAGACCGAAGTTCTGAATCAGGCGCATTTGGCTATGGGGGAAAGGAGGGGATACGGGAATGGGTTGGACTCCCGTGCGCATGTTTAGGAAAGCCAAAAGGGAACCAGCCATTTACAGGAGCCCGCGAACCCCAAAGGGACTCATATCCAACACACAGGCCATATCTTTGTCTCCTTCTCCTTTTTGGGGTATGTTTTAAAACTGGGATTTGGTCCCCAAAATTGTGGTTTCCTTTTGATTTCCAAAGTAACAGGGTACCCTCAAAAAAAGGGAACAACCATTGGTACCCTCCAAAAGCACTTGCTTGCGTGGTTTCCTTTTTGGCGTCCTCAAAAAAACAAGTGCACGTGTTTTGCTCCCAAACGACGTGATAAAGACAGAGAGAAAGAGACAAACAAAAGAGGGAAAGAGAGAAAGAGAGAAAGAGAGAAAGAGAGGGAGACAAAGTATGCAAAAAAGATGCCAGGAAGCACGGGCAACGGGCGGGTGTGTAATTCTCTCAGAGCCCAAATAAATGCGTTGGCTTATGAGCATAAATCCCTACCCGACTGGAAACCTTCAGACACGCCCTGAAACGGGTCCTTCAACCCCCGGCGCCCGCAAACAAAAAACAAACAAATGCTCTGTTTTTGTCTCGAGCAAGAGAGGTACCCTATTGGGAAGCGGCTACCATTCCTTGTTCCATGAAGAGCCTTTCCAAAACGGGTTCCCCTATTTTGAGAGAGACTCAATTGTTTTTTGTCGTTTAAACTGGGTCGAATGTTTGGAAGAGCCGTCTCAGGCCTCCGAGCACATGCCAAAGCAGATCAGCCTCGGGTGGGCGGGCCGAAGGACGCGTCGGGCACCGGCCCCCACAACCCAAGATGAAACCCTTCGGCTCGAGAACACCATCCGACGCCACAGATGACTGCGAATTGACCTCTGGTGGGTTCTCAGAATTGGGCAGCCTAATTCCAGTGCGGGGAGTTGATTTTTTTTTTTAGGTCTCCGCTCGCCAAACCAAGCAAAAGACGGGCGGAACACTGCCGCCAAGCGGCGCATCGAGCGCGGCCGTCGCACCGCCGAAGCCCGGAGGCTTGGCAGCCACGAAGGCCGCGATAACGGAGCGGACCTCGTGGGCAACACTTGGCCGGCCCCCACGCCAGGAACACAGCAGTTGCTCGAACTGTTAGCAATCTGACAGAATACGGACTCCGCTGGCCTGTCAAGGCTTGGCCGAAGCAGAAGGGAGTGCCAAAGCCTGGCCACGCAACGTGCCCCAATAGAAGAGCATTAAACGAGCACTAGATGAGCACTAGACGAGCACTAGACCGAGCACTAGACGGGCGCTAGACGAGCACTAGACGGAGCACTAGACGAGCACTGGATGAGCACTAGACGAGCACTAGACGAGCACTAGACAGAGCACTAGACGAGCACTAGACGAGCACGAGCACTAGATGGGCGCTAGACGAGCACTAGACGGAGCACTAGACGAGCACTAGACAGAGCACTAGACGAGCACTAGACGAGCACTAGACGAGCACTAGACCGACCACTAGATGGGCGCTAGACGAGCACTAGACGGAGCACTAGACGGGCACTAGACGGAGCACTAGATGAGCGCTAGACGAGCACTAGACAGAGCACTAGACGAGAAATGGACGAGCACCAGATGAGTACTAGACACTAGACAGAGCACTAGACGAGCACTGGACGAGCACTAGACCAGTGCTAGACACTGGACAGAGCACAAGACGAGCACTAGACGGCCACTAGACGAGCACTAGAAGAGCACTGGACGAGCGCCAGCACTAAACGAGCACTAGACGAGCACTAGACGGCCACTAGACGAGCACTAGACGAGCAGTCTGGCGATGGACTGCCCAATCCGACCAAATTGGACCAAATTCGATCAAATTCGACCAAACTCGACCAATTTCGACCAAATTCGACCAAATTCGACCAATTTCGACCAATTTCGACCAAACTCAACCACGCCCGACCAAGCTCGACCAAACCCGGCCAAATTTGACCAAATTCAGCCTAGAGAATATGACTGGAAAATTTCAACAATTTTCCGGTCGAATTCAGTCTGGCGATGGACTGCCCAATCCGACCAAATCGGACCACTGCGCTCGACCAAAGTCGACCAAACTCAATTCGAAGTCAATTAGACATGACAGCGCTAGACCCCATGCGACCACATGCGACCAAATTCGCCAGAATAGGGAGGCCACGAGCCACCTCCGATAGAAGAGCAGTAAACGAGCACTAGACGAGCACTACGAGCACTAGATGAGCACTAGACAGGCACTAGACGGAGCACTGGACGAGCACTGGCCGAGCACTAGACAGAGCACTGGATAGAAGACTGGACGAGCACTGGACAA